ATCCTCTTTATCAGCATGGTTTTAATATGACTATTAAGTACAAATTGTTTGGTAGTCCTTGTTCAGATTCTATTGTTTTCACAAAGAAATAATTTTATAAACATTTTTCCAAGATTAATAGTTTTTATTGTGTAAATGTTTGAGGTATAGCATTTTATCCACCTATATAAATGTACACCATCTAGTTATATCCTAAACAGCAAATGGAACAAAATCAAACTAAAGACAATAGTTTGGAATTGTTTAATCAATTTGCAAAAAAATTACGACGAGTTAAAGTGAGAGGTATCGATTTTGTAGGTAGTTTTTTGTAGGTCATTTATTTCGATAGTAAAATTGAATAAAAATAAACTGTAAAATTTAAAGTAATTTTTACAGAGGCGCTGTGGTTTTTTCAAAACAAAAAAGTCTAACAGCTCCAAAAGGTCGTACCTACGAACATTTTTCCAAAATATTGGAAAAACTGATTTTCGAAAAAAATGCTAATAAAAAAAATAAAATGCTAATAAAAAAAATTGACACAATCTTTTTAAACAAAAAAAATGTACGCCACTGATTTTTTCCCCGTTTAGATATTTTTTTAGAAATCCGCCATCAATTCTGAACGAAACTGGTCACTTCAATTTTTTTGGTAGGATGCACCGTTTTTGAGGAGAAAAGATGAAACATATTTTATTGCAAGTTGTGTGTTTTTAGTTTTTAAAATTTAAACACTGTATCTTGGAAACGATGCATATTTCGACACAAAATAACTTCGACAACCCCCCCCCCCTTAAATTTTAATATTAAAATGCGTTGTTCTACGCCAAATTTGTAACCAATTAGGAAAAAAATAAGTTGTTGTTTATGAAAAATTGCCGCTTCTAGACCCCTGCCTACCGGCACAGTAAGTAAATCGGATTTATTGTTTCGGGGAATACAAGTGCCTACGCCGTTATCTCGGGATGACGTAAAACGCTTCGCAGGCGGTTCAGGCGTCACTCGAACAATAATAAGTCGAAGATACGGTCCGTTTGTTGTAACCCGCGACGGGATTCGTCGATATCCAGGTGAGTCCTGTCGATCGTACGCCGCTAACGACCGTTTCCCTACGCGTTAAAACTTATCTCGAGCGTATCTGGAAAATCGAGAACGAATTCGGATTCAAAACATTGGCGAATACCGCTGCGGAGGTTCTCGCCGAGCTCTGCGACGCAATTCGAGTCGCCTTGTCCCCGCCCGCGCCCCCCACCTGCCCCCCTCCCGCGGCGTAGGTCGGGGAGATAATTTTTTTATTCCGATCGAATGGAAGCCTTACTCGACGCGAATATAAATTTTACTAGAATGGGTATTTGTGAGCAGCCGTGTGGTAATACCCACATATTATAATACTTAAAAACCACCGTTTACTAAACGTCGAAAACCCCAGGGAAAGCTGTCATTTCTTTTAGTCTTTTAAAAGACGAACAAAAAGCGATAGTTCGAAGTGGTTCTCGGTTTTCTTCTATTAAGTTTTCGGAAGTACCAAAGCAAAGTTTGAAAAATAATCTGAGTTGTTGGTTTAACACCTGTTTTGATTATGATTGAAGCTTGTAGTTGTCTATTTTGCATTGCCGCAATTTCAGTAATTATGTGAATGTCCAGATCGTAACCCAGAACAAATTGATAACCAAGAAGAAAGAAACAAGAATAAACAGTCAACAGACTTGCAAATTTTGCAGCAATTACTTACCTGTAGAGAGACTTGCACAGTTTATAGAGGACAGTCATAAACTTCGGCAGTTGTCGAAGTAAAATAAAATTCCTAACTCGGCTTTCAAAGGAGATGAACAAACAAAGAATATGTGTAACTTCTAGTTTATCGATGTTCCGCAAAATAAATGTGCATTTCTGTTGTCAATTTTTCTCGACCGTTATTCATACAAACTGTCGCATATTTTATTAAGATAATGATTACTTATGTGTTTCAGATAATCGTTAGTATTCGTAGTATTATTTTTTCACCTGTGTTCAAACAACAAGTAATTGAGAAACAACTCAAATATGCACTTAAAATTTTTTATAAATAAGTTCGGTAATAGACTTCAGAATTTTATTTGTCCCCACTCAAAAACCTTTAACCTTAAGGTAGAGGGAGCCCCCAGAAATGAGTTAAAAATAATGTTTTAAATTTCATATTACACTGTCCTATTTTGATATTTTTAGGATAATATTAATGCGTCTTTCTCAATTAACCGTTGTTCTAATATAATTTCATGGAATTGTATTTAGTAATATTCTATTTAAAAGCGCAAGATGATCCACTAATCACTTCTGGGAGTCATAAAAAATGTTCGAGTTCGAGATATATTAATTTTGAGTGTGCATAATAGTTGTTTGATAGCATAGCTTCTCTAAATTTTCAAAATATATAATTTTCTGACGTCAAACATAGGCATTTGAGATATGGATGCCTATGTACTTTTATTATTTTTGTGGGTAATTTGTAATCCTATTACAAAAAAAAAAATTCACAATTATGACTCTAATAATAGTAACAATAGTGGAACAAATACTGTTGCTAAAAATAATCGGAAAACATTACAAAGATATGACAGAAATTTAACATTAAACATTGCCCTGATGTATGAAACGGAAACCAAACTAACATTGTTTATAAAATAAATTGCAATTGTTGCTATGGTACATACGTTGGCGAAGCAAAACAATATTTAAGTACCCAAAGGAATTTATAATCAAATATAGTATTACCTCCGATAATATTAAATCCACAGCCTTTTCTTAATATGCATTAGAAGCTAGTCATAAATTTGATTTTAATAATGCTGTATTTTTGAACAATGAAAACAACTTACAAAAAAGATGTATTTTTGAAATTATATACAAATTAAGAAAGAAGAAATTCAAATTCTATAGAGCATAAAGTGTATGTTGCAGATTTGTACACTATTTAAAAAATAATCCTTTTTGTTAGATTTTACAAACATTCCGATACTTGTCCTTGGCTCTGTTTGCGTCGTTTGTTTAAAAATTTCGTCTACGCAATATGCTAATGCTACTAACGAAAATTTAAGAGAGTTTTGTAAATCTTTTATCGTTATTAATAATGTTGTTGTACACTTACTACAATTTAAAAGTTTGATTTATAGTTATGACGTTGGATTGTTGTTACATAATTACTGTCAGTATTAAAAAATATTATTAAAGCTAATTCTTAAGCTTGACTTAAGAGCGGAACTTTATTCTGAACTTTTTGACAGTGGTGAGGTATTAATTTTTAATTAAAAATTTAATTGTTTTTCGTGACATTTTTGCGCGATTATAAGTAGTAAAGTTATTCTTCATTAAAAGAATCATATGCAAAGGTACTAAATCCTAGCGTTTATCTCAAAAACTGACTAGCGAAAAGTTTTGAAAAAAATGCACCGTGGTTATATGTCTGTTGCCAATCAGTCTTCAATATTTGGGAGTTTTATGTTGAACTGTTTCGAAGATTCTTCGTTGCATGCGAAAAATTGTACACATTTTAGAGGATATTTTGCTCACATAGAAATTTAAACACTGATATCTCGGAAAACACTGGGTATTTTTCCCTGAAATTTTGATACGATATTGTGTTTGTTATTGTAGTGGCATTTTTTACATTTTTACGAACAAAGTTGAAACGTCAAAGCCCTTCTGAAGATTCTTCGAAGCGTGCGAAAAATTGTACCCATTTTATATGATATTTCGCTCACATTAGAATTTAAACACTGATTTCTCGGAAACCACTGGGTATTTTTTCGTGAAATTTTGATATGTTATTGTGTATGTTATTGTAGTCGTATTTTTTACATTTTTGAAATAAAATTTAGACGTCAAAACCCTTCTGAAGATTCTTCGTTGCGAGCGAAAAATTGTATTTACAGGATATTTCCTCACATAAAAATTTAAACACTGATATCTCGGGAAGCACTGGGTATTTTTCCATAAAATTTTGATATGATATTGTGTATGTTATTGTAGTGGTATTTTTACATGTTTGAAATCAAATTTAGACGTCAAAACCCTTCTGAAGATTCTTCGTTGCGAGCGAAAAATTGTATTTACAGGATATTTCCTCACATAAAATTTAAACACTGATATCTCGGGAAGCACTGGGTATTTTTCCATGAAATTTTGATATGATATTGTGTATGTTATTGTAGTGCTATTTTTTACATTTTTTCGAATAAAGTTTAATCGTCAAAGCCCTTCTGAACATTCTTCGTTGCGCGCGAAAAATTGTACCCATTTTACAGGATATTTCGCTCATATGAAAATTTAACCACTGCTTTCTCGGAAATTACTGGGTATTTTTCCCTGAAATTTTGATATGATATTGTGTACGTTATTGTAGTGTTATTTTTTACATTTTTTCGAACAAAGTTTAAACGTCAAAGTCCTTCTGAAGATTCTTCGTTGCGTGCGAAAAATTGTACACATTTTATAGGATATTTCTCGGAAAGCACTGGGTATTTTTCCATGAAATTTTGATATGAGTGAGTATGTTATTTATAGTGCTATTTTACACATTTTTTTGGAATAAAACCGGTCGAAAAACTATTACTATTAAATAGACGAATATTTTTGTATTTTTGTATCTGACTGCCCTGTTGGCACCCCTGACCCGCTGCGGAATGGCGCCCTCGCCCCGGGGCCCGTACGTTAATTACTCGGACGGTCCTTCTTGGAAAAGCCGCGCTCGCCTGCCGCGGTACCCGGCGAAGGGTAGGTACCGCTGACTCTTCGGACGCGGTCTCCGCCAATGGTGCGGCTCGGTGGAGACGGAGGGGTGCGCGCGCACCCGAGACGTAGTACGCTTCGCCTTTCGTCCTATTCTAAACCGACTTCGCTAGTCGTTTTCCCGCCAATTCTTAGAACGGTGCCTCCTGGGCGAGATGCCACGACGCGCCACGTGGTCCGTCGCGCGAAAAAAATCGCCATCCGCGGGCGGTAATGTATTGTGGTGGTCTAATTGCTGTTCTTTTCGGTTGTTCCAGGCAAATGGTGGCCAGGATCGTGCAGGACCTGTTCAGGACCGCCCCGGCCGACGTGCTTGCCCGGGACCTGCCCGAGATCATGAAGGTCCTCACCAGGATAGGAGATGGTAAGTCCAGCATTTATTTTTGGTACTTAGAACCGTCCATCTGTATACATTCACTCAATTCAGTTAATGGTTAGTAGTAAATGTATGTATTTTTTATGAATTTCAAGCGCTGGTGGGGTCACAACGACCCCGCTGTTTTCGCCGTTACAATTCGATTGATTCAGCCGGCGCGACGAGTGCGATGTATTTTTAACGCTGTCGAAATGAGATTATTATTAGTTTTATTTTCGGAATCCTATTATAATAATTATTATTTGTGAGTGTATGAGGGTATCGAACACGTGTGCGATTGTATCCCCCCTCCCTTTCACTGCCCGCCGCCATGGGCGTACCCAGAAAATGCCTTAAGGGGGACGGTTTAACAACCGGTCGCGATATAAACCACGTTTGAATGCGTAGACGCCGGAGTATACTTAGTTAGCCGATCAGTAGCGTTGTTTCTCCAATTACTTGTAGTATTTTGACTGAATTCTTGTGTCAGTATTGTTTTTTTCACGGATTCGAAGAGAGCGTCACTTTTCGTCGCCCTCTATGGACGCCTATGACGCTCGGTTAACGACTTTCACCGATTCGGCTGCCTGACGGACGCCCTGCCTTCGACTGATTACCGATTATCAAATTCCCAAATCGGTTGCCTTATCCTAATGGATTTTAATGAATGGGACGGGACGGTCGCTTTGCCGTTTCGCTTCCTAAGGTTAGCAGCGCGATCCGCAGCTGCCGTCCCATTCCTAGAATAACTGTTTTGGTACGTTTCTGGGAAAACTGTGTTAACTTTGGGTTTAACGTGAGGCACCTGTACGGTATTCTGGTGTATTTTCCACCATCGGATTTATTTGAAGATGCACGGAAAAGTAGGCATGGTCGGGTAGATGTGACGAAAGAGGAATAATTAATTGACGGTCGTAAAACGTTCCTAGCCTATTTTTTTCAATTCTGTAAATAGGAGAGTGTAGGATCACATCTGCAATGGTATTTGTGTCATTAAAATAATTATCTTGCCTAAGTTTTATGAGATATTTAAACATGGAGCGGAAACAAACTACATAGCTACAAAAATATGAAGCTGGACAATAAATATTAGCACTCTAAAGGTAAATAATAGTCCTCTAACTATTCAACTGACATTTTTGCCGCAGAACATCTTTAGACTAGGCGGTATCTGTTTTGGTTTGGGTGAATCGTATATCCACGGAGATTTTTGGCTTATTGGCTTTCAAATATCACTAAAAATGAATTCGAAAAATGTCATATTTTTCTTCCTAATTAATTATGTATCTTTTCAGGAGTTGATATTAGGCGAAAATGGAAGAGGAAAAAATGTCTGTAATTAAGTTTTTTACAAAATACGATTAGTTACAAATCGAATGAATCATGATTATTGTAAAAATCGAAAAAATCGCAAAAAAGGGATTTAAAAACATTACTTTTTAGGGAATTCTTTTGGGGTCTTTAAATTGGGTATAGGACCTTCACACTTGGCTCAAGATAACTTCATGTTATGTAGAATCATCACACCAAATTTAATCAAAATCGGTTTGATAGATTTTGTATAATAATTTTGCAATCCAGATTTTGAAAAAAAATTGCAAATTTTCAAAATTTTGCACGGCAAAAACCAAGACTCTTAGATACTTGAAAATTTAATCGCATATAGAAAGGCTCTCAAGCTTTCAAACACTTTTTGAAAAATTCGAATCCGTCAATTAGGAGAGCTCTGACGCTTGTTTAAATATTGGTCGAATTTTTGTACTCATAAACAATTATAGACCAGTGCTTAAGCCTTCAAAAATGGTAAAAAGTGAAAAAAATATATAGTAGGATGAAACCCATTGGAAAAGGAAGAGAATATAACAGAAATGAAAAGAAAAATAATTTACGGGCGATCTGAGGTCGGGAAGGGGAAGGGGGTGAGTTTTTAAGGGTAAAAAACGGTTTATCTTGATTTCCGGAAAAACTACAACTCTTATGGAAAAAAGTTGTAGGTAATGAAAAGATCTACAACTTTTGTATTTACACTTTTTTCACATAACCTCAAAATTTATGTGAAAAATTCAAATAACCAAGTTTTTGGTTTTTTATTTTTATCTTTTACAAACAAATTTTTTTTTCACGAAATTTGGTGAAAACTTACCTATTTATGTCCCAAACACGCTGTAATTTTTTTGATTTGAAATATTTATTTTT